CAAGAGACATTCAAAGAATCAAACAAAAGCAAAAAGGAGGCAGATGACTAGCAATTAATCCATAAAAGACCTTTAAAAATTAGAAACTTCTTCCCCAGAAAATACGGTATGGCCAAATGGAATCTGTAAATGTGAAATTCCAAATATGCACAATGCTGGATGCACAGAAATGTGGAAATTGCAAGAAATAAATATCTCCTGGGGCCATTTCCCATGTCCCTTACCAAGAATATGCACAGCCTCCAGCAGCACTGGCAGTCCCTGCCCAGGCACCTCTTTCCCTCACCCTGCCTGGTACATGATGTACAAATAGTGCCTGATCTGGCAAACCTCTGACAAAACTCACATTTTGGGGTGGCTCCCCACATCTGCAGGACCACCCTTGTCTGTTTTACAGCACACAAATACCACCTGCAGGGATCCAAGCATGGACTGGAGCAAGCACAGAGCCCAGGGTAGCACCTGCAGGGAATGGGGATGCAGCAAACCCTTGGGACGTGCCACACTTCCCACACACCCCTATCCTATAGCACCCTGGGCTGGCTGGCACGCTCCCCTGTGCCACTCCTGAAATATGAGCCATGCTCAAGCTGAGGATGCTCAAGTAGAGGCCACCAGGGACTCCATGGGCAGTGCCAGGGACCCAACACTGCTACACACCTGGAGCCAGCATGGCCCTGCAGGACCTGTGCTACGGGGACCTGTGCCACGGGGGGCTGTGCCATGGGGGGCTGTGCCACGGGGACCTGTGCCATGGGGGGCTGTGCCACGGGGACCTGTGCCACGGGGACTGTGCCTTGGGGACCTGTGCCATGGGGACCTGTGCCACGGGGGGCTGTGCCATGGGGACCTGTGCCATGGGGACCTGTGCCATGGCGGGCTGTGCCACGGCCATCAGGAGCAGCATCCAGGACCTTGTACCAAGTCCTGCCATGCGACGGTGGGAAGGTCGAAATCCTTGAACAGGCACAGCATCCAAAGAATTACTGATCTACAGAATATCCTGAGCTGGAGGGACCCACCAGGATCACCCAGCCCAGCCCCTGTCCCTGCCCAGACCCCCACCAAGCCCACCCTGGGCATCCCTGGCAGCGCTGTCCAAAGGCTCCTGGAGCTCTGGCAGCCTCGGGGCCGTGCCCATTCCCTGGGGAGCCTGGGCAGTGCCAGCACCCTCTGGGGGAAGAACCTTGCCCTGAGCTCCAGCCTGAGCCTGCCCAGGCACACTGGGCACAAATCCTGACTCTGTGTCAGCATGACTCTTAGAGCAGGTTTCAACCTTCTCCCCTGCAAAATAAAATTAAAATTAAATTAATCTAATTTTTAGAACACTAATTCAACTCTAATTTCACTCCTGCACTTGCATAATTGCAAACTTGACTGTGCATCACCGGGGCCACGTGACTGCACCTGTGAACTGAACTATTCCCAGCATTGCATTATGGCAGAGATATATATTTAAATTATCCTGGAGTCATGCAATAACCTCCCAAGGTTTTATATGGCATTTGTATAAATATTATCTACTACTTTAATAATATTATGTCTGTTTTCATTCTGGGATGAAAATATGTCACTGAAAATGAGGTCCTGGAAATTTTTCTTTTTTAAAAAATACATTTCAGTTATGTCACAAGAAATCTGTTGGTATCACTCAGCTGAGCTCCCTCCCTCCCCTTCCCCTTCCAGGCTGCCAACAGCAATTTTGAAAAGGATAAAATATTGATCAACTTTCCAGAAGAAAAAAAAAAGGGAAAAAAAATCCCCCTAAAGGCAGACTGCAATGAAAAATTATGAAATCTTTTCCAGGCAGGAGCAGGTTTGTGCTGGAAGGACAGGCAGAAAGGTGAGATTCAGACTCATTACGAATCCAGCAGCAGGAGCTGGTGCTGGAAAGCTGCAGCTCCCCAGGGAGTTAAAGATGGGAAAGGTTGCAGTTCCCACAGCATCGCCGTGCAGGAGGACACGGCCTCGCCCCCAGCGCTGCAGAGCACACACACAGCACCCCCAGCACAGCTGAAACACCTCCAGTCCAGGCCTCCCCTGCTTCAACCCCTCTGCTTCAGGAGAAACTCGAAAGGCATCATTGCCACAGTTGGCACTGTGACCCCAGAACTGAGGCTTGGTCATTAATTCTAATTAAAATGCAGCACCCATCAGTGCATCCCCTCCCAAATCCCAAATCCCAAATCCACAGGGATGCTCCCCACATCTCCGGGTGTGTGGCAGGGCAAAGGAAAAGCAGCATCAAAAGGTCTCATTCACATGAGAAAAAAATGAATGAAACCTTAAAAAAAAAAAAATTACAGCTAAACAGTTTCTCAGGGTACAATGATATTGTAGAAAAAGTTCTGGGGTGCAGCTCAAGGAAGGGAATTCTTGGAGGGTAAGAATATGGAAAAGCCACCAGGCTACAGCTTCCTGGATGAAACCATGAATAAAATATTCTCCAGGATTGTTTAATCCAATTTGGAGCATTGTGTGTAATTTTTACCCAGATGTGCCACCCGGCTCTAACTGCACCACTGCCGGGCTGGCACCGGCCTCCCGCTCCATTATTTGCTAAAAAAGGGATTCAGGAAGAGGGTGGGTCCCCTTCGGGGGGGCTGGGGGCAAATAAATGCAAAAATAAAAATATGGAGTTGACATTTCGGAGTATTTCTTCCTCCGCCCAAGAGTTATCCTGTTTTGCAAATTTTTTTCCATTTCCCCCCCTTTGAAAAACTCAAAACATGAAACAAATAAAAGGGAGAAAAGTGAAAACAGCCCCCAAACCCTGAATTCACCAGTCACTCCTTTTTGATTTCCAGCAAATATCAAATTACAGGGAACAGAAAATCGAAACCAAAAAAAAATTTAAAAAAAAAAAAAAAAAACTTTTCAGGGATTTGAGATTTGAAATTAAAAATTCATTCTGGTTTGAAATTTAATTTTATTTTGTGCAGCACCCAGATTTCAGCATTTGCTCGTGGGTGCTGGCAGCTCCAGAAACTCACTTTGGAGTTTAAAAATTTAAAAATGCTTTTTTCCAAAAAGGAAAAAAAAAAAAAAAAATCCAAACTGCTGCAGCTGTGGAGCCAGCCATCTTGCTATTTTGTCCCCATTTTAGAGAGGATACTGTGTCAAGGTTGGTAAAACTCAATGTTGACCTAATCTTTCCCTTCCTCTCCCTCCCCCACTTTTGGGTGGAAAGGCCATGTAGCTCTCCTAGATTGCTTTTTTCTTGAAACAATGCATGTTTCAGTGCTCTTTTGTTATTTATTTTTAAAAAGATCAATACCAAGACCCCAGTATTCAAGGGCAACCCTACAATAATAAACCAGTGTGTGCACAATCCAGAACTCACAGGCACTCTGTAACAGCAAAATAATAGGGATAGGACAGCATTTAAAACAAACAAACAAACAAAACAATTAAGAAAAACCCCACCAAAAATAATAATGAAAAAAAAAATTTCAATTCAAACTCCAGCAAGGCTTTAACAGTCAAGGAGAAAAAGGATTTTGAAATTGTGAAAAATATCATGGCTGAGCCCTTTAAAGGCACTTCAGTTTGGAAAAAAAATGAAAATCACAAAATCTGCAATTATTTTTTCACAATATTGTTAATTATGCATATTCATAATATCATGGCGGACCTTATAATAAACCTGTGTAAATATTAGATTTATGTGAGCCATAGGACATGGAGTTATTACAGTGTGTTTAAAAAAAGAAGGGGAAAAAAAACCTAAAAACCATACTATGGAAATTTTCTTCTCTACAAAAGAAGTAGGAAATTAAATGCTGGAAACTGTTTTAATTATGTCAGGAGAAACCATCCAAAAAGCCAAGAAATTCTAAAATAAAATTGACATTCTACTCTTTATTTTGCTTGTCCTTGTGTTTTCTTGGACTGTGTTTAGAACCTCATTGTTTAACAGCAGTTTTGCATGAAATCCAAAATCACAAAAAAAAAAGAAAAAAAAAAAAAAAAAAAAAATTTTGGGTGTGTCCACAGCAAATTTTCTGGGTTCTTCATTTTCCTGCAAAACTCCTCATTTCAAACAAAATAACTTTAAGCACTGCAGCAAAAAGAAAAAAAATAAACCCTGAGTTTTGGCAGAGCTTGCTGCACAAGTTCAAAATTACAATGAAGCCCAATTCCTAATTGCTCCGGAACAGCAATTCTCCCACTTTCCCAAACTAATCCCTCCCTGCAGCTCACCCGGGGGGGCCCACCAAAAACTTGACTCACTTTCCTCTCCCAGCACACTGCTGCTCCCAGGCTCCGTTTTTCTCCAGAAAATGGGGGTGGAGGGGAGAAAAACCTGAATTCATTCAAATTCCTGTTTAATTTTCATTTCCATGAGCTGGGCTTTGGCCAAAGGGACAAACACGAAATTTGCGGGGATCTGGGGAGGCTGCCGGAGGAACCCCAACACGGGGGATCCCGCCCCAACTTTCTGGGAAAAAAAATTAGAAATAGCAGAATATTTCCTTTTTTTTTTTTTCAATTTTAATTTTTTTTTTTTTTTTATTTACGAAATAGTCTCCTCTAGGTGGCGTTGTTTTAATGGAAAAAAAAATGGGGGGGAAAAAAACCAAAACGTTCCGGAGGAAAAATTAAGAGAAGGAGGAAAAAAAAAAAAAAAAAAAAAAAAAAAAAAAAAAATCAGTGAATAGCAAAAGCAAAAGGCCCGGGAAGGGGCGCGGAGCGCGGCGGGGCCGGGCCGGGCCGGGCCGGGGTGCGGGGCCGGGCCGGGCCGAGGGGCGGCTCGTCCCCGACATGGCTGCTGAGCTCCGCTTTGTTTTCCGCCCGGTCCGAGCGGCCGCGGGCTCCGGCACCGCGGGGTCGGAGGAGCCGCTGCCGGCGCTGCCCCCGCGCACTGCGCCAAAGCGCCGCCGGGGCTCCGCGACGGGGCGGCTGCGGCTGCCGCCCTCCCTCCTTCCCTTCCCTTCCGTTCCCTTCCTCCCCGCTCCCTCCGCCTCCCCCCGGGGACACGCCGCCCGGCCGCCGCGTACCTGCGCTGCCGCCGCCGCCGCCGGAGCGGAGCCGTCCGGCTGGTTCATGGGGCTGGGGCGGGAGCAGGCGAGCCCCGCGCCGCCGCGGCCTGCGATCCGCCCGCCGCGCACAAAGCCGCCGCCGCCGCCGCTGCCTCCTTTCCGCCCTCCCAGGAGCGGCGAGTGGGGGCGATGCCCCCGCTGCGCGGGTGGGCGGCTCGCCGGGCTGCTGCAGCCCCCCTTCCCCCCGGGGCATGGGCCGGGGCGGCCGCCGCGGGCACGGGCGCTGCCGCTAGCGGCGCGGCGCGCAACCGCTCGGCGCCGTGGGGCCGCTCGGCGCCGCGGCGCCCCCCGGGAGGTGTCCCGCGGTGTGTGTGTGTGGCGGGGTGCGGGCTGCGGACCCCGGCGCGTCCCGGGCCCCGCGGACCCCGTCCCAGCACGAGGAGAGTCCCCCGGGCGGCGCGGTGGCCCCGGCCCGGGCAGGGGGCGAGAGCCCGGCGGCTGGGAGCTGCGGGGAGAGCCCGGGTCCCGCACGGCTTCCCCAGGCCTCGTACCCCTCATACACCTCATTGAGGCATCCGAGGGGACGCGGAGTGAGAGGGGACAGATGGCCCGCCAGAAGGGACACGAGGGAAACGCTAGAGCTGTGTCAGGCAGGGTCAGGCTGGAGATCAGGGCAAGGTTCTTCCCCCAGAGGGTGCTGGCACTGCCCAGGCTCCCCAGGGAATGGGCACGGCCCCGAGGCTGCCAGAGCTCCAGGAGCCTTTGGACAGCGCTGCCAGGGATACCCAGGGTGGTGTCTGGGCAGGGACAGGGGCTGGACTCAATGATCCTTGTTGGTTTCTTCCATCTCAGGAAAGTCTGTGATTCCATGATTGTCCAAATGGCTTGGGCAACATCATGCCTGCCTCCTCTCCCCCAACTCTTTTGTCCCCCCAGAGCACACCCAGGGCTGAAATCGCCCCTTGCATTTTAGCCTGGAAGCTCCCAGCTCTCGGTCCCCCCATATTTGAGAGTTGTTTGCCACAACAGAAAACAGGGAAAGCCTTTCTCTACCCTCACACAAAACTCATCCTGACACCCTGTCCCTCCACCAAGAGCTTTTCCTCACCACATGCTCACAACGCTCATCGCTGCTCAGCAAACCTTGTTAATTTCATCAGCAAACTTTGTTAATTTCCTCCAAAAAGAAAGGGAAAAAATCAGTGCTTTTCTTCCCCTGGAAAGCACACAGCATTAACTATAAACATAATTACATCTTATTCATACCTGATGTTTTCTTCCTTGTGAAGCAGTACCAAAAAAAATTATTAATTATATTAATAAAATAATCTGAACTTGTGAATTTTCCTGCCCCAGCCCATAAAACCGTCTTTCCCAAGAGCTCCACAAAACCAAGGATTTGTAGAAAGCCAAATGCTGATTTTGCTCTTGTTGCCCAGCCTAAAGACAACTTCAAAGATATTGCAAAACACAGATTTATTTTTCTTAATATCTTTTATGCAGATTTCATTCCAAATCACTGTACGGTCAGATAATGTAATTACAGAGCTAAATAAAAACAAAGGGGCAGGGGAATTGGTGGAGACATTGGGCAAGGGAAGATGTTTTCTGAGTGAGCTTAGAAGGGATGTGGGAAGTCAAGAAGCAGAAAGCACTCGCGAGGTTTCAACCCCAGCGCAGGCATGAAGTGCAGCCAGAAGGAATCCCCCATGGAGCAGACTAAAGCAAAATTTGGTATTTGACAAATGTTTGAGGAGGGTTTGGGGGAAAATGTGGTTTTGACATGGAGTTTGCAGAATGAGAAGCTTGGAGATACCCTCAATGTGCCTTTGTGTTTGGAAACCTGCTCACTGATCTCCAAAACCCAAAGCCTGGAGGTAAAAGATGCCTGCCCCACTGTGTCCCTCATGGCTGAGGGCACATTTCAAGCCATGCCTGGATGCTTTGAAGCATGTTCAGCACTGGAGAACCCATCACAGCTCATGGTGTGGCCAACCATTGGCCAACTATTCATCACCTTCTCGCTTTGAGCCTGACCCTGTTTTGCTTCCATTTGATCCATTTGTAACATGGAAAAGCTTTCTGCCTCCCATATCCACAAACTGTGGATAAATCATACCTTCACCTTCTTTTGCGGACCGTCTTCCCTCTGGAAGGACAATGTTTGAGCTCTCCAAGCTTCCTCAGCCCAAACCTCCCATTTCTTCTGGTCATGGAGACAGAATAGATGCAGAAAAGGGGTGGCAGCTGTGAAACTCACAGAGACCCCAACCAGATCTCTGTCATGCGTGTTTTTGCAGTGGCTTTGCAGTCTGCTTTGTCTGCTCAGCAAACACAGACATTGCTCTGGGTGGAGGTGTTGGGGTCCACAGGGGAGAGTTCCCAGTTCTGGGTCAGATCTCAGAGTTCAAAGCCTCCCTCCTGAGGGATTTGGTTGTTGGTTGGTCCTGACTTTGTGAAACCGGCCCTTGGAATCCGCCTGTGTTCCTGCTGCTGATTTTGTGCTGTTTAGACACAACAAACACCATCACTGGTGACCCCTCCTGCCTGAGGGACAGCCCTCTCTCCTCCAATGGAGTGAGGTCAAATGCAGAAATTCTGCAAGTCAAGACATCCTTGATTAGGAAATTTCTATGGATTAAGTCTGGGAAATTCCCAGCATGTTTTATTCCTGGCAGAGTGAGATACCCATCAGGTCACTCAGGCTGAAGTCCCTTCTGATGAGGTGACCTCTCCTCTCCTCCAATGGAGTGAGGTCGAATGCAGAAATTCTGCAAGTCGACATCCTTGATTAGAAAATTTCTATGGGTTAGGTCTGGGAAATTCCCAGCATGTTTTATTCCTGGCAGAGTGAGATACCCATCAGGTCACTCAGGCTGAAGTCCCTTCTGATGAGGTGACCTCTTTGGGACAGATGTTTTAGTCTTGCCGCTCCAATAGCATCCAATGGGCTCTTATGTCCTGACTGGTACCAAATTTTGGCTTTTTCTCTCAAAACTTCCTCATGATCAGTGACCAAAGCCTGAAAACCCACATCCTTATTTTGAAGTACCCTCAGACCTTCCCTGGGTAACAGCTAATGACAGGCCAATTGCAGTCAGGAACTCTCTACACCACATTTCAGAACACACTTTCCAAGAAAGGTCAGTCATTTCTCTTACTACAGTTTCTGGTGTCTGCAGGCGGAGATGACAGTGGTGCTCACACCTCTGTGGGATTCCCAGCCTCAAAAGGTTGAATTCCTCCTGGAACATCAGTATCTGCACGGTGCTGGGCTTGCTGGAGGTAACTCAGTGACTTCTCCCTCCTTTCCTACCCTTAAGATGAAGCAGCAGCAATGCTTTCACCTTCCCAGGCAAGCTCTGTAGTCATCTCAGACTGGGAATGCTATCCTGGTAGGACACCCACCTCCCATGAGCTGGTAAGGGTGTCCTGGCTGCAGTAATCCTAAGTGATAATGTGATTAAAGATCATGACAATGCACATGCATACAAGGCCTGGTTCTGCAGGCTTGAGAACCTTTTACTGTGCTGTATTCTCCTGTATTCCCCATGGGTTGTTTGTAAGGCAGGCAGCACTAACAGTTGCTACTCTGTGTGAGTGTCAAAGCCTGCACAGCATCCATCCCGAGGTGATGGAGTGTCCTGGAGTTTGTTTCCTGCAGCCTGGACTTCTGCTCGAGCTGTGGGGTCAGGGATGGTGACAGCAGGGACAGGGTGTTGGGCAAACAAATCAGGGGGAGATGTCACTTAGCCCCTGGAAGGGCATTACAGTCTACAGCTAACTTCATTTTGGAAAAGTGGGGAGGTTTAGGTTGGGTATTAGGAAAAGGCTCTTCCTCCAGAGGGTGCTGGCACTGCCCAGGCTCCCCAGGGAATGGGCACGGCCCCGAGGCTGCCCAAGCTCCAGGAGCCTTTGGACAGCGCTGCCAGGGACACCCAGGGTGGGATTCTTGGGGGGTCTGGGCAGGGACAAGAGTTGGATTGATGATCCTTGATCCCTTCCAGCTCAGGAGATTCTGTGGTTCTTTAAATGCTCACCTGAGGACAAAGATACAACACAGTGGAGGCAAAGCCCAGTGAGGTGATGAGGATTCTGCATAAGGCACTTGTGCTGATTCCAGCGATGAGCCTCTCTGTGGGATATGTGCTCAATAGTCTGGAGAAGGAAATTATTGGTAGCAGTCTCCCTAAGTAAATCTAGAGCTCACAATCTCCTTCATCCATCACAGAATTCAGTCATCTGGGCCAAAGGTTATCCCTGAGGGATGTGGGGTACCCTCTGTTCCAGTGCCCACTCTGAAGTTTGGAATCTGTGCCCGAAACACTGTAGTTGAACCCCGTGCTGGGGCAAAACGCTGAACACTCCTCATCACTGCTATAAATAAGGAAGAGTCGGCAAACCATGGTCAGGAAATGGCCAAAGGACTATTTATAATCACTGCTATCTGCAAGATATTTGTGAGACCAGCAGAAAAAAATAAATCCCCACTTCACTCTTCCTGACCCCGTCACCATCTGTTTGCTTCACTCTGAGGCATTAAAGCTCATCAGAAGTGTTTGCCAATGGTTATACAGAAAGGAAGTGTTGGATTGTATTTGTTCTTGTCAGCACTGAGCTGCTCCTTCCTTTTCCAGCTGTGATCGCTTTCGTCCCCTCCTTTGCTGGGACCGTGTGCACCCTGAGAGCACCAGTGTGAGCTGCAGCACAGACTGGGGATCTCTGCAATGGACTGAATGCACTGAAAACCAACAGTGGACAACAGGAGCTCCAAAACCATTCAGATTCAGGTACAAAGCTTCTCCCTGCACAACAATTAACGAGTCCTTCTTTTGCATCAAAGCCTTGTCAGAAATTGCAGTGGCTGAGTCGTTGGGATGGGTTTTGTTTGGGTGATGCCAATAAAGCCATGTCCTGAGGAAATTCCAGGGAGAGCCCATGTCTCTGACTGTGGAGCTGATGGTGTGAGTTGGGATGCAGGTGGGGCTTTGCTCCTCCTGAGCCAGGGGCTTGGTGAAGAGGCTGGAGCTGTGCAGGGCTCAGGATGTAGCTGAATTTCAGGAGCAAATGCCAGGGTGTGGGAGAATTTACAAGCATGTGAGTGTGTATTTTACCTATATAAAACAAGAAAACTTTGGTTTTAAAAGCATTAGGATTGTATAAACATGACACTCTCCAGAGCAAAAAACAAAGCAATACAATCCCAAACCATGAGATACCTGTTCCCCACTCTTTAATGACCACACAACACATTTCTGCTGACAGGGAGAGGTTTATTGCTACAACAAAGAGCTTCCTTCT